GTTCAGTGGTAGAATACTTGCCTCACGTGAGTGAGGCACTGGGTTCAATTCTCAGAACCGCTTATAAATAAATGAATAAAATAAAGTCCATCAACTGTAAGGTCAGTTACCAAAAGTGAGGAAGATTAAAAGCTGTTGACCAAGGCTTTATTTAGATTCCCTTGGGAGCAAGACCCTCCAGTCCAACAGAGTTGCACCTAGGCTCAGCCAGATTGGAATTTTGGGGGGCTTAGGGCAGGAATGGAGGGCTTGGGACAGGAAAGGGAGGTTTTTAGAGTCCCTTGTCCTCCTGGGGTTGTCTGGGGATCTTGCTGAGCTCCGTGTCCTTCCAGGATTGGTCAGGAGACCCTGCTTATTGACAGGTGGTTATGCAGCACCTGATTAGTTGTTCTTTCCCGCATGCAGGTTGCCTGGTGCTTTGTCCCCTTAGCCACCTCCAACATCAACAGCTAAATATATCCACCTAAACTTACCTCAGGGTAAATGATGTCACTGAGAGACCCAATGGCAGCTGGTAAGGATTGAAAAGGGGGTCAAAAGCCCCAACTTAGTATAAATATATATATTTGTAAAAAGGGCCGGAGATGTCGTCCATGGTAAAACACCTCTGGGTTCAATCCCCAGCACCAAAAGAAAAAAGACGTGTAAGAGTTCAGGAATGATAGACTTTAAACCCCTGTACCTAATAACCCAACTTGCTTATAAAAAAGAAAAATCCCATTCATTGGTTCACCTGTTTAACCAGTATTTATTGAGTGATAACTTTGAGCCTAAGACACAGTGATAAGGAAATAGGCTGAAGTTCCTGCTCTCATGAAAGAGACAAAGAAATAAATAAACAGACACAGAATTAATGCCAGATCGTGGCAAATACTGGGAATTAGAACCAAGGTAAGGAGAAAGAGGACGACTTACACAGGAGGCTGCCATGCACAATGGCATCAGGAAGCTTGTCCCCAGAGGCAGCCCCTGAGCAGACTTGAATGAAGTGAAGGAGCAAGCCACATGCAGGTGTGGAGGGGAAAGTTCCAGGTGGAGAGGAGGAGCACAGGGCCTTGGGCAGGAGTGTGGTGACCTTCAAGGTCAGCAAAGAAACCCTGTGACTGACAGAGCCCAGTGAACCAGCAGGGGGAACAAATCAGCTCCCCTCAGGGCCAGCCTTCAGGAGCCAGGGCAACAAGGCTCTCATAGGATTTTACTTTACAAAAGGAGAAGCCACTGAAGCATTGTGAGGACGGCTTTGGGCCTGAGCCTAGCAACTCCATTTTAAAACTCCAGTTTGAAACCTGCAGTCTCACCAGGCTCACGTAAGGGAACCTTCCAGAATGGTTCTCAGGAACAAACAAGTCCCTTCTCCCCACCCTGACAAACCCAGAGTGAAGCCTCTGCCAGACTGTCATCCCCCCAGATAAGGGGGGAAAGGCAAAAAGATCAGGGTGGGGCCACCAGACCAGATGTTTTAGCCCCAGGGTAAATGATGTCACTGAGAGACCGGGTGGCAGTGTAATGCCAGATTCCTGGGACCCCAATAGACCTCCAGGAGCCGAATCGGATGCGATCACGCAAGAGTCTTCATTGTGAGCTCCAGCCTGGACTCACGACCGTTTCAAGCAGAGGTCCCAGGGAGTGAGTCCTGGTCCTTTGTTCAGAGAGATTTTATAGGTTTTTTTGCATCACAACATCACACAGCAAATCATTTCACACCGCAGGAAAATCAAGCAACAACTCTTAACTTTGATTAGCACATTCACTGGCGGGAACAAGTTGGGTAGGGGTGATTGGTTAGTACAAGAGGGGGATTCCTTTGAACTGATTGGTTTAAGCCACGAGGGGTGTACGTGCTAAACTATATGGTTTCCCAACGTGTTATCAACCACCATAAACTACTGGGGGGTCATTTAGCATCCCAGGTATTTTCCCTGTCTCATGCTGATTGATGGTTGCTAGGGGGTTGCTATGGGTCCTCACCTAGCCAGTGAACCAGCAGGGGGGACAGATCAGCTCCCCTCAGGGCCAGCCTTGGGGCTGGCGCAGCAGATCTCTCCAGTTATTTGTAGATAAACAACTCAGTAGGGTGGGTATGTGCCTAGGAGTGCTCTGTGGGTCTTTCCAAGGACAAGGGTCACGCCCCCTTCTTTCAACAGGCTTTGCTCTGAGGTAGAGGCTGGTTTCTCAAAAATGGAGTCACATCAGTTTCTCAGCACCTGATAATGATTGAAAGGGGAGTCAAAAGCCCCAAAGGTTAGTATAAATATTAAAGCAAATGAACAGACACTCAGCCAGCTGACACTGATGCCCTCACACTTGAGAGCCTGGTGAGGACCTGGGCTGACATCCCAGCTCTTCTCCTTGTTTGCTGATCCTCTGCGTCTTCCTCACCGCTCTCAAACCCTCCAGCCACATCTTGACCCTAGGGAGAACCACAACTTCCCCCTACGACCCTCTCCTCTGCCAGCCATCAGCTCCACCCCAGGAAAATCCTGCCTTGGTTCCTGACCTGATCACGGGGTCTGAGTGAGTGTGCTTCTGTGGACTTAGAGCCTAAGGCTTGAGACTTTTGATCTGGCACTTGAGCTTAGCGGGCAGAGGAAATGTTTGTCAAGAGCCTCTCATGATTAAGTGTGTTTGCGCTGGGTATGTGGCTCAAGTGGTAATGCGCTTGCCTGGCATGCGCGGGGTGCTGGGTTTGATTCTCAGCACCACATAAAATAAAAAAATAAAGATGTTGTGTCCACCAAAAACTGAAAAATAAATATTAAAAAATATTTTTTAAAAAGTGTGTTTGCAGTGCTTAAGTTAATCTAGAATTGTTTGCTGTGAACAGATTATCCTATTGCAGTGCCTAGCATTAAGGATTGTCGTTTCCTTGACAGTGAAATTGTATTGAGTGATTTGAGTGAATAAAGCATTGATTGGAAGGGGCAGAAGCACATGGACATTCTTTACTTCTCCCCCTGAACTGCATCTTTTGCCCATCGTGACAAGCATTCGGAGAAAAAGGATCGTTTTGTATTTTTTAAGACTCTGTGTGGCTGCTGTGTGGAGAAACAGGGGAGGGAGATGAAGTCAGAAAAAACTGCAAAGGTTGAGTGGGAAACAATAAGGGGGGGGGGGGGGGAGTGTGTGTGTGTATATAGGCAGGCCCAACAGTGTAATGATGAACCCAGCCTAATTCCATCTCAAGATTGGGAGCCATGTCATCTCAAAGTCATGAAAAGTTAATTTCTGTTTTAATATAAATTACTGTGATTTCTAAACTTGTTTGAAATTCCTGCCCTTGTCTTGAGCTCACCCATGCCTGGCTTCCCTGACCAGATAACAACCCTCTCCAAAACCTTAGTGATGCCTCATAAATCCTGGCTCCCCCGACCAGATAACAACCCTCTCTGAAACCTCAGTGGTACCTCATAAATTTTGATGTTGGGATCTGAATTTACTCCCTACCTTGAAATATCATGCCATCTAGATCATTAACCTGCTACCTGCCTTTGTATTATGCTTGTCAAAATCCTGTCAGCTCTAAGTTCTCAAGACACTCTCCTTTGCAACTTTTTGTGTTATAAAATCTTGTTCCTGGAAAGCTGGGGGGCTGGTCTCTAGCCTGTGTTAGGGGAGACAGCCGCTGATCAGCTCTCTTTGTGTACACAAATACAAGCTTGCTTTAATTTGATTTAAAATTGGAGTTGGTGGTCTTTGTGTCAGGGTTCAACAGTAATCCTAATTGATTAGAAATTTTAATCATAAAATGTTACACACATGTTACACACATGCCTACAACATTCCTGCTTGCACTCCTCTAATCTGTCATGTCATCCAAACAAGGAAAGCTTAAGAAACTGTCACAGCCACGAGAGACTAAGGAGATACGACGACAAAATGAAAGGTGGGCTTCTGGATGGGCCTCTGGAACAGGAAAAGGACAGTAGGTAAAAACCAAGAATCTTCAATATTAGTCCATCAATTGTGACAAGTATTCCACAATAATGAAATATAATAAGGAAAGCTGAGAGATGACATTTATATGGTAACTTTCTGTAGTATAATTTTTCCATAAGTTCATTTAAAAAGGTAAGCCCTCCAAACAATGTGACTGATATCCATGTATAAATGGAGATGGTTACACAAAATGTGAATAGACTCAACACCACAGAACTATGTACATTAAAATGATTAATTTTAGATTATATTATATTTTGTAATTTTTTTTTAAAGGTTCCCTTTTGCTTCAAACTTTTTTCAGTCCACAAGGTTTAGAATTGGGTGACTTGGGGCTGGAAATATAGCTCAGTGGTACAGTAATTGCCAAACATGCACAAGGCCCTAAATTCAATCCCTAGGATGGGCAGTGGGGGGGCACTAGGATTGGGTGACTAGCTGAAGTCAGAACTGATATTTGGATGCAGGTTTGGCTGCCTCCAAAGTCCAAATTCTTTTTTCTTTATATATTTTTTAGTTGTCGATGGATCTTTATTTTATTATTTATATCTGGTGCTGAGAATCAAACCCAGGGCCTCACAAGTGCTAGGCAAGCATATGGCTACCATTAAGCCACAACCCCAGCCCGCCAAAGTCCAAGTTCTTAACCACTCTGCTTCATTGTTATGAAATTCCTTAAGAGAGTCTTCCTGTCACTAATTGAATCCTCCTTCAACACGTCCTAGCAACTAATGCCCAGGTGATCTCCATGTCCCTCAGAACATCTCACTCTCCTGTGCAGGGGATTTGAAGGGGGATCCACTGCCTACCCATTCACATTAGGCATTCAGAAAGCCCTTCGTGGTCCCGGTGCCACGGGGCACACCAGTAGCTCAAGAGGCTGAAGCAGGAGGATCGCAAGTTCAAATCAGCCTCAGCAACTTAGTGAGGCCCTAAACAACTTAGTGAGACTCTTTCTCAAAATTAAAAAAAAATGGCTTGGGGATGTGGCTCTGTGGTTAAGTGCCCCTGGGTTCAATCCCTGACCCCCAAACACCCTCAAACGAAAACCCTTTATGAACTGATTGCAACTGACCTTTTTAGGTCAAACGAATCCCTTTATTTTTCTCCTGACAAGTCAACACGCACCCAGTACTGGATCTTTTCCTAATTCAGCTGTTTCTCTCTCGAAAGTCTTTCTTTGGGTTTGTCTGTGCAGGCCCAGCTCAAACTGAAAGGTCTGCCTTATCCCATGAGCCAAAAGTAATTATTCAGAGCTTCTCTTCACGAAGGATAATTGGTCCTGAGGGGAAAAGCCACAAAGAGAATCCACTTAAAACAGAGACCAAAATGTCATAGTTAAGAAGCTTAAAAGGCCTGATTGTAGGAAGACAATCTAGGATTAAGCCCAAACAAACCTATCGTAATACTACGTGTAGAGCACTTATACACGTTTGTTATTCTTAATACAAAAACATGAAAGGTGTCTATTTAAAAGGTTGCTGGGAGGAACCCAGCAACCCCATCAGGGTAGTGCCCAGGACACATTGTCCATCAGATCCCTCATCAGACAAACCAGAGGGAGCGCAGGGTTGGACATCTGCGCCTCCGCCAGAGCAGTACTAACTCCAGAGATGGGAGTTCAAATCATTCCCACAGGGGTGAAAGGACCTCTTCCCAAAGGAACAGTAGGCTTATTATTGGGACGCAGCTCTTCTACTCTAAAAGGACTTATGATAAGTCCTGGGGTAATTGATCCCGATTATGAAGGTGAAATAAAAATTATAGCCAGTTCTCCAAAGGGTATATCAGTAATTTCACCAGGAGATAGAATAGCACAGTTACTAATAATACCCAGCCTACATGATAAATTTTCCAGTCGTACTGTAGAAAGAGGTTCCAAGGGATTAGGCTCCACAGGTGTAGATTGGGCTATGCTTTCTTTAAATTTAGATTCTCGCCCCATGCTAAAACTAAATATTCAAGGACATGAATTTAATGGGCTACTGGATACAGGTGTAGACCTTAGCATCATCTCTCGTCAAGAATGGCCAAAACATTGGCCATTACAACAAGCCACTCAAACGCTTCGAGGCCTAGGAGTGGCGACTAATCCCCATAGAAGTGCAATGGTATTAGATTGGAAGGATCCTGAAGGATGTGAAGGAACTATACAGCCATATGTATTGGATCATCTTCCCGTAAATTTATGGGGACGAGATGTCCTAGATCAATTAGGTTTGACATTAACAAATAACATCAACCAAAATGCACCCACTATTATGAATAGACAAGGTTTTAGGAAAGGAAAAAGATTAGAAAAACAAGAACAAGGTATAGCAGCACCAATACAAATAGATCAAGGAACAGACAGACATGGGTTGGATTTTCAGAAAGGGCCACTGAGACAATAAAAATTACTTGGAAATCAGAAAGACCAGTATGGGTTCCTCAGTGGCCCCTGACTAAAGAAAAGATACAAGCAGCCCATGACCTGGTCAAACAACAATTAGCAGAAGGACATATACAACCTTCTGTATCTCCCCATAATACTCCCATTTTTGTCATCAAAAAGAAATCTGGTAAATGGAGATTATTGCAAGATTTAAGAGCCATTAATAATGAGATGGTTATTATGGGACCTGCTCAATCAGGGATTCCTCAGTTGTCTGCTTTGCCAAAAACCTGGTATGTTTTAGTTATAGATATTAAAGATTGTTTTTTTTCAATTCCAATTCATCCTGAGGATAGTCCACGTTTTGCATTTACTATCCCTGCACTGAATCATGAAGGTCCTGATCAGAGATATGAATGGAAAGTACTCCCTCAAGGGATGGCTAACAGCCCAACTATGTGTCAAATTTATGTTAACAAAGTAATCCAGCCACTTAGAAATCAAAATCCTGAACTACAAATATTTCACTATATGGATGATGTATTATTAGCACACAAAGATAAAAACACATTGCTAGAATGTTATGCCACACTTACAAACTTATTAAAAAATTATAATCTAGAGATAGCAATAGATAAAGTACAATTAAATTTTCCAATTAATTATTTAGGAGTTCTATTATCCTCAACCATGGTCCGTCCACCAAAAATTCAAATACGAGTAGATCAACTCAAATCACTTAATGACTTTCGAAAGTTATTAGGAGACATAAATTGGATAAGGCCTTATTTAGGTATACCAACAGGAGAGTTGGGACCTTTATTTGATATCCTAAAAGGTCCATCAGATCCAAATTCACCCCGAATGTTAACGCCTGAAGCAAGAAAGGCATTAAAAATCATTGAAACATATATGGAAAATATGCATTTGGATAGAATTGATATAAGTTTGCCTTTATTATTTATTGTACTACCAACAAAAAATATTCCTACAGGAGTATTTTGGCAAGAAGGTCCATTATTATGGATACATTTATCTTATTCTCCTAACACTATTCTTACTAGGTATCCTGAGGCTGTAGGACAATTAATACTCAAAGGAATAAAAGCAGCAAAGGGAGTGTTTGGGATTTCTCCCAATAAAATTATTACTCCATATACTATGAATCAAATTGATGAGTTAGCTAATGAGTTAAATACTAGGGCAATAATCATGTGTAAATCTAATGTTTCATTTGATAACCACTTACCATCTAATCCTTTATTGTCTTTTTGGTCATTGCATCCTGTAATTTTTCCAAAAATGACAAGAAAAACACCTATCATGAATGCTCCAAATATATTCACTGATGGGTCAAATAATGGTACAGCAGCAGTAGTTACCCCTGATCAAACTTTTACATTTTTAGTACCCAAACAATCAGCTCAAAAGGTAGAGCTTAATGCAGTTTTACAAGCTTTTGTGATGTTTAAAGATTCTGTATTTAATTTATTTTCTGATAGTCAGTATGTAGTTAATGCTATAGTATCTCTTGAAGATGCTGGTAGGATTTCCCCTTCTTCTACTGTTTTCTCTTTGCTTTCCACTATACAAAGTCTAATCTGGGACAGAAAAGATCCATTCTTTATAGGACATATCAGGGCACATACAGGATTGCCTGGAGCCCTTAGTTTGGGCAATGATTTAGCAGATAAAACTACACATGACATACATATTTTCTCTACACTAGAAGAAGCTATAAATTTTCATAAAAAGTTCCATGTCAATGCTAATACTTTACAAAAGCGTTTTAAAATAACTAAGGAACAAGCTAGACAAATAATAAAACAATGTCAAAATTGTGTGACCTTTTTACCACAAGTTAATCTTGGAGTCAATCCTAGAGGATTGATACCTAACCATATTTGGCAGATGGACGTCACACACTTGCCAGAATTTGGAAAATTAAAATATTTGCATGTTACAGTTGATACTTCTTCTGGATTTTTGATGGGCTCCCTTCATGCCGGAGAAAAAACTAAAGATGTTATAGCTCATTGCTTACAAAATTTTGCCACTGTGGGTGTTCCAAAACAGTTAAAAACAGATAATGCCCCTGGTTATACTTCTACCTCTTTTAAACAATTTTGCTCAACATTTGGCATTACTCATATAACAGGAATCCCATACAATCCACAGGGACAAGGCATAGTTGAAAGAGCTCATCAAACTATTAAAATGTACTTATTAAAGCAAAAAGAAGGAATTGGGAAGGGGTATATATTCCCCAAAGATAAACTTAAAATAACCCTTTTTACTCTAAACTTTTTAAATTTGGATTCATCAGGACTTAGTGCTGCGGAAAGGCATATGTGTCCAAAAAATGTACATAAGCCCAAGGTACTTTGGAAGGATATTCTAACAGGACAATGGAAAGGTCCTGACCCAGTAATTGTCTGGAGTCGGGGGTCTGTTTGTGTGTTTCCACAGGGAGAACAGCAGCCGATTTGGATTCCAGAGAGATTAACCAAGGTCCTGACCCAGTGATTGTCTGGAGTCGGGGGTCTGTTTATGTGTTTCCACAGGGAGAACAGCAGCCGATTTGGATTCCAGAAAGATTAACTAAAGCGATTTCTACAGACCAAAAAGAAGATGATTTGGCTCAAATCCATAACAACTGATATCCAAAACTCCAGTTTGGCTATTCTTACATCTGCAACAGAACCAGGATGCTTTTTTCAATATCTATTTTATTATTGCCCTTTGCCATATCATGAAGTTCTATTTTGTTTTTTGAGCTCATACAGACCTAGGTTAATGTTTTGCTGATCAGTTCTATTTTTTGACTATAGAGTTTTTAAACATTGCAATGGAGATTTCACCTGTAAAAAGTTATAAGGCCTTTACTATAATGTTATGTGTTGTATGTATTATATTATGTGTGCACACTTGTGTTTTGTGTTATATGTTTGAATGTACGTATGTCCATATATCATATATGATGAGCGCTCATGATAAAATGGATCCAAATATTTTTTTTCACGTGATTTATATGGTTTAATTTAAATTGGGTAAACAACTGTTGAGGATTGTTTTAATATGTAAACAAAAAAGAAGGTTAACAGATCTGTTTGTTTACTTTCACCTTTCCTTTTCATTATATTTAATAATTCTCTTAAAGACAATGTAAATTGTTAAGAAAATTGTTTTCTTTTAGTGCCTTCTGTAATGTTACATAATTTTTTCTTTAGCCATTATTGCCAGAATTCCTATCTTCATCCCAGTGCCGGTGAAGACAATGTAAATTGTTAAGAAAATTGTTTTCTTTTAGTGCCTTCTGTAGTGTTACATAATTTTTTCTTTAGCCATTATTGCCAGAATTCCTATCTTCATCCCAGTGCCGGTGAAGACAATGTAAATTGTTAAGAAAATTGTTTTCTTTTAGTGCCTTCTGGAATGTTACATAATTTTTTCTTTAGCCATTATTGCCAGAATTCCTATCTTCATCCCAGTGCTGGTGAAGTCAAAGATAAAACCAATCTACAGCTTCTACAATAGCCATCACTGAACTGCTTGCAGAACTTGCCTGGACACATTGTGAGCTCACCTGTATGCATTGTGAACTATCTGTTGGTGCAGCGACTTATGGTAGTGTTGGGGTATTTTTGCTGATGATGTCACCGGTGGTACAATTTTTCAAAGGAGCCCTCAATTGGCTTAATGTCATGGCATTTTGCATCCTCCTCTACTAGTGATGGTCTAAAATTTGGGGGCCAACAGAGGTGAGGCAAAGAACCTCACCCCCCCACAGGTGCAAAGGCCTATCCACAAGTATGGCTGTATGCTGGACCGGTAGTCAGTGACGGGTATGATCCAATTGCAGTGGTACCAACCTAAGACAGGAGGCTGACGCCTAGAGGTCAGTTCATCCGATGACGGGTAAGGACCATATGTTGAATTGGACTGCCTAACAGGCACGGTCCCTAAGCCACATGCTTGTTGTTTAAACAGAGAGGGGGAGATGTTGAGAGCCACAGCCTGAGGGGCCCCAGCAAACTTCCAGCTGCCAGCAAACTTCCAGCTGCCGGCTGATGATTGGCTCACAGCAGCCCCAGCAACATCTAGCTGATTGGCTCCTCGGCCCCAGCAACATCTAGCTGATTGGCTCCTCTGCGGTGATGCTCATTGGACTGTTTCCCTGCCCTTTCAGACCACGGAGCTGCTCATTGGGGGACTTTTTTGGCTCCGCCCACGTGACCCAGCCAATCGGCCTCAAGAGCAGGAGGATTGTGGGAGGTGGAGAGAAGCTTGGGTGGGAGAGAGAGGCTTGTGGAAAGCCGGTGGTGGCAGTTGAGGCTCTGAGGGTTTTTCCTGAGAGACTATTTTGTTTGTCGTGTGTGGTTCTAAATATAAAGTTAGTTTCTTTTGACAAGTGGCTCCTGATTGTGCCCAGCCAGACTGCGGCATATAGGCTATATTATTTATCTTTCAGCTACATAAATGTGATTATTTAAACAAAAGAACCAGTTAAAAGAGACAATAATTAATAGGAATAAGCAATGTCTAAGAAATACAGAACAATTTTAAATATTTCTATTCTGATACAGCAAATAACTTTTAAAATTCATATTGAATATTTACTTCTGTATATTCTTTTTAAAAAAATATATTTAGTTGTAGTTGGACACAATATCTTTATTTTATTTATTCTTTTTTTTTTTTTATGTAATGCTGAGGATTGAACCCAGCATCTCGCATGTACTAGGCAAGCGCTCTACCACTGAGCTGCATCCCCAGTCTTCTCAATAATCTTAAAATGCAAAAAGTAAGCTTTTGAAACTACAGTGTCTCATGATTTCGTGGGATTGTGTGTGTGTGTGTGTGTGTGTGTGTGTTACTAAGAAAGGAACCCAGGCTCCACACATTCTAGGCAAGTGCTCCACCACTGAGCTACATCCCCAGCCCTTTTAATTCTTTTATTCTGAGACACAGTCTCACTAAGATATCCAGGCTGCCTGGGACTTATAATCCTCCTGCCTCCGCATCCTGATTAGCTGGTGTTACCCACATGTGCCACAATACCCAGTTTAATGGGATATTTTTAAACCATTTTTTTTTTCTTTGAGATGACGTCTTACTATGTTGCCAGGGTGGCCCCAAACTCCTGGGCTCAGGCAATCCTCTTACCTCAGTCTCCCAAGCAGCTGGGATTACCACTGGGCGCCAGATGCCTGGATGTGTAAAGTTTTACTCTTCTGCCTTCCTTCTCCAGTAATCCTTCTCTGAACCACCTGCAACCTGGAGGACACCATTCTTTTCTGCAGGGGTAAAACTGAACACAGTCAGGGGGCTGGGGATGTGGCTCAAGCGGGAGCGCGCTCGCCTGGCATGCGTGCGGCCCCGGTTCGATCCTCAGCACCACATACAAACAAAGATGTTGTGTCTGCCGAAAACTAAAAAATAAATATTAAAATTACAAAATAAATAAATAAACCAAACTAAAGAAACAAGGCAACTAAATACAATGTGTAGTCCTGGATTATATTCTTTACTAGGAAAAAGTACAATAAAGGACATAAAAAAAAAAAAAACTGAACACAGTCAGATGTGAAATTCTCCTGGACTTGTAGCTTGCTCTTATCAAGTCCACATTACATGGACTCCTGGTGTCAGTCCAATGTGATGACATCACTCGGAATATTCTCTCAATAAAAACACTGGGCATGGAATAATTAGGGTTTTGCTTACTGGCAACAGCAGATCTTCAGACTTGTAGGAATTTATTTCTAGCTCTCCAAAAATGTCCATCTATCTTTTATCTACTGGCTTGTCTGGATAGACCACCTGTTTGTCAGTCAATTCTCTGTATCCTCTGCATCATAAAGGCAATGCATGTCTAAAATGCTCATCATTTCTAATCATTCTGAAGTACACTGAATGTTATTAAGTTAAACTTCTCCTCGGGGAAAATGGTTTTAAAGCACAAAGGTAATTTTTTGTTTGGAGGGTTTGGAGATTGAATCCAGAGGCACTTTACCACTGAGCCACATCCCCAGCCTTTTTCTTTTCTTTTTTGAGATAGGTTCTTACCAAGTTGCTTAGAGCCTCCTTGCTAAGTTGCCAAGTGAGGCTGGCCTTGAATTTAGAATCCTTCTGCCTCAGCCTCCAGAGCTGCTGGGATTAGAGGCATGTACTACATGCCCAGCCAAGCACCAGAGGCAATCTGAACTTGTAAAATCGAAAGTGGATTTCAAAAAGGTTATTGTTCTTATAAAGCAATTGAGAAAGTCTGTTTAACTTGGTTGCCCTTTTTTTGGTGATGTTGTTTTGAATTCTAAAGCAACCTTCTTTCAAAAAAACAATGAGTTATTTTTTCAGTGTTAGGAGTTGATGTTGCAACTTACTCATAATATTAAATAACTCAGGTGCAGTCAACCTGTCCTTTCTAGGCTCCTTATGGCTTCTTCATAGGTCATCAAATAGTTCTGGACAAAAAGCATATAAGTTTCTGTTGTAGTTTAACACTTTTATTCATTCTCATCCTCAATTTCTAAATTAAAGATGGACATTATCAGGATTTCTATTTATATATTTGTGATGCTAGGGATCAAACCCAGGGCCTTGTGCATGTAAGGCAAGCACTCTACCAACTGAGCTGTATCCTCAGCCTGATATTCTCCTTTTCTTGCATTTTGAGAAGGGGATTTTTTGGGCTGGGGATGTGGCTCAAGCGGTAGCACGCTCGCCTGGCATGCGTGCGGCCCGGGTTCGATCCTCAGCACCACATACAAACAAAGATGTTGTGTCCACTGAAAACTAAAAAAATAAATAAATATTTAAAAAAAAAAAAAAAAAGAGAAGGGGATTTTACAGCCAGACCAACATTGTTACATCGTTTTTATGACTGGCAACAATGGCAGCCACAGGACAGGTACAGATCTAAACAGTCTATCTCCTTCTATTGCTACAAAGTAAAAAAAAAAAAATCTCATTAAGTGCTTCTGCATCTTTTGAGGAAACTGAGAAGTAATGAAAAACTATTATTAAGAAGGCCTCAATATCATGGAAAAGTAAATCACACCCCCCCTTTTTTTTAAAGAGAGAGAGAGAGAATTTTTAATATTTATTTTTTTAGTTTTCGGCAGACACAACATCTTTGTTTGTATGTGGTGCTGAGGATCGAACCTGGGCCACACACATGCCAGGCGAGCGCGCTACCGCTTGAGCCACATCCCTAGCACCACACCCCTTTTTAGCAGTCTTGTGTACAAGCTGAATAGGTCATTAAGCATGTAAGATCTTTTCATTTTCTTTGGTAAGAAGCTTATAGACAGAATGGAATTTGCCAAAATTTACATGTGTGCTCTATGCTGAATAAGCAGATAGGTGAGCAAAATCTAGTCTGTATTTGGACAAGATGTCAGTAAGTTTTTTATGTTTTCTGTGGTTTCATCAAAATCTTCACAGATATCAAGAAGACCATTTGAAACACAGTTTTTCAAATCAAAGTACCAAAGAGCTAGGGGGAACATTTTGTGTGTGTGTGTGTTTTGCTGGGGACTGAACCCAGTGCTTTGTGCATGTAAGGCAAGCACTCTACCAGCTCTCGAACAGTTTTTTATTGCCATGATTCACTGCCGCAGTCCGGCTGCAGCAAAATAACCGGGGGGGTGACGAACAACTTGTGTACGTTGATACAGCAGGAGTGGGAGCCGTTTATTGTAGGACAGGAGCGGTATTTATACATTCCACACAGCTTATCTTAATTAGCATAAACTAGATACATCAGTCAACCAATAAGGAATCTCCACACTTAATAGCTCGCTGACATTACTTCACAAACCACTCCCTCTGGCAATATGCCAGGCGCCATCCAGACTTGTTTACAGACTAACAATTCACCACTTGATATACTGTAGAGAGCATGATCACAGATAAGATCTGACCAAATCAGCTCTGAACTGCAAGGTGCTAACACACCTGTTATCAAAATTTCCCCTTTTGTTCGCCCACAGGACATTTAAGTTGCAACTTCTGAATCAGGAAATGCAACTTTACTCAGTTTTATAAAGCAATCAAGGGGATGATAGGATGATGAGTATTTATGTAGTATGCTCAAACTAATTCAGTGGCTACTGTTTTCAACTGAACATTGGTGTCTTTGGGGGACACCCTTTGCACTGATTAAAAGAACTTTCATGTCTCATCCTGGACTTGGGAGATTCAGTCTCCATATGTGCTTCTATATCCCCTTCTCCATCATGCCCAAACCCACATTTCTCGGGGGGAGGAGAGGTATTGGGGATTGAACTCACAGCCACTCTCCATTGAGCTACATCCCCAATACTTTTTATTTTTGAGACAGGGTCTCACTAAGTTGCCCAGACTAGTCTCAACCTCAAAATTCTCCTGCCTCAGCCTCCTGAATTGCTGGGATACAGATAAGCATCACCACGCCCAGCTCCTCCCCAAATTCTTTTCTGTACCTCCTGCATGATCATGCTCTCTACAGCATATCAAGTGATTGTGGTGAATCAAGGCAATAAAAACTGTTTGCCCTAGCTCTTTGGTACTTCGATTTGAAAAAAAAAAAAAAAAAACAGAGTTTCAAATGGTCTTCTTGACCTGTTTGAATAATTTACCTCCCTAAGCCAATTATATGTGTCTTTCACCTATCATTAAAATAAAGTAGCTGTTTACCTTTTGGTAATGTCTGGGTCATGCTGGCCCTGGCAGTGTACTCAGGATACTATCACAAAGTTAAAATTAGAAGAGCAAAAGCACAACAGTTAACTGGAGGGATAACACCAAATATAACTTAAGCTGCACACGCTTCATAATTTAAGTTTCTCTGAGGGAATCCATCAATGGAGGACCCATTACCATAAACCTAGGTAACAAATGCCAATTCAGCCTCCAGCAAAAGACAGACCACTGCCATATTCATTTACCGCTAAAAAAAGTATTTTTTACCATTTCAGGCTATTTTTTGGGCTACCATGTGGTTTTATATCACTCCTCCCAACTTTCCATGCTCTGCTGAAAACCACAACTTTTTGCACCCAAGAATGGTTTCCTGAAATGTGGAACTTTCAATAACAATCCCAGACAATCCAGACTGGCTGCTCACTAAAAAAATAATCGCTTACTCTCCCATTTTTGTGGGTGACAGTCTGCTTGCTATTTTCAGGTTTGCTATTCCAACTTTAGCAAATTATATTTCATTACTCTTTATATTTATCTGAGATAAATCAAATAAAAATGGTGAATCACGTGTTTCTGGCAATAGTCCCTAAAGGCTTGAATAGAATGCTTTTTTTTTTTTTTTTGGTGCTGGGGATTGAACCCAGGGCCTTGTGAATGCAAGGCAAGCACTCTACCAACTGAACTATATCCCCAGCTAGAATGCATCTTGGCATCACTACTTGGTACACCTGCTCCACAGCTTATTTCTTTAGCTCTGAGACTCCTTGGCAAATCAAGGTAGGTTTTTTCTAAAGTTTTCCCTGCACTGTTTTCTGCTATTTCCAACAGCTCCATTCAGTCTCCAAAAGACAAACATAGACTCATTAATTCCATACATGTCCCCCAAAAGCTAAGAATGACAAAGCATCATTTTGTTATAACAGCAATATAAAATGCTTACTCATGTTTATAAATCACATGATAATGATGTAAAAGTAAAAAAAAAAAAAAAAAAGAGAGACAGAATAAAAGAGAAAGGTAAGTCAATGCCTTTCCTCCTACAGTCACCAGGTAGCTTTAGTCAAGCTTTGAAAATGCTTCTAAGAGCAGGGCATGGTGGTACACACCTGTCATTCCAGCAACTCAGGGAAGGCTGAGGAGTATCACAAGTTCCAGGCTAGCCTCAGCAAATTAGCAAGACTCTAAGAAATTTAGGGAGAACCTGTCTCCAAATAAAACATAAAAAGGGCTAGGGATGTAGCTCAGTGGTAAAGCACCCCTGGGTTCAATCCTCAGTATCCTCTTTAAAAAAATGCTATAAATCATAGGCAGGTAGCTCAGTGGTAGAGCACTTACGCACTATGTACAAAGCTGTGGCCTGGATCCCCAGCACTGAAAAAAAAATTAATAAATAAATAAACAGAAATGCAGCTAAGAGCTGGTAAACTAATGTTAGTCATTAATAGACATTAAAAAAGTTTCATTAAGTACTGCCTGCAGGGTCTGGGGGGTAGCTCAGTAGTACAGCTCATGTTTAGCTGAGTTGCGTCCTCAGCACAACCATTAAAAAAAGAAAAAAGAAAGAAAGAAAAGAAAAGAAACAATATAACAATTTTAGCCTAACCACACACTGGGTCCCCACCCCTCTACCCTGTTTCTCCTTTTCTTTCCCTTTTGTACCGGGGATGGAACCCAGGGGGTACTTAACCACGGAGTCACATCCCTAGTCCTTTATATGTTTTATTTTAGGGTCTCACTAAGTTTCTTAGGGTCCCGGAAAATTGCTGAGGCTGGCTTTGAACTTGCGATCCTCCTGCTTCAGCCTCCAAAGCCACTGCGATTACATGTATGTGCCACCGCACAATCGCTGTGTGCCTCTTTTAATGACAAATGTTGTTTTCCTGGATCTCTCCCTCGATCTGGCGGGTTCCGCTCGGTATACCATCGGGCCAAGGTCGCGTCGCGTAGGCTCTTTAATAGTACGACCTTCTCCAGGAGCAGGACCTGCTCCGGGATCGGTGCCGCGGAGACGGGTGATCCCTTCCGGACAGCAGCGGCGCCTCTCGGTACGGGCGCTGAGGGATCACGTCGGGCTCTGCGGGTGAAACCTCCAGCAGCACCTAACTCCACCAGGGGCGCCTTCTCCATCAGTCGAGCCCCTGACCCGCTTCGGTCCCCGGGCCGCCTCCCACTCCTGGACGCCGACTGGGACCCGGACTGAGAGCTTCTGCAAGAGGGGCTCCCTCGCCCGTCATTCGCGTGGCTAAGACATCTTTGCTCCCGGCTTATCTTCCTTTCTTTGAAAACGGTTGCTTCCCGAAAATCCAGGATATCTCCTAAATAAATAGTGGTTCTCAACCTTTTCCCCCGGAGGGCGTATTGGGCAAAGCCTGGAGACACCTTTGGTTGTGACAACCCCTTGCAAACATTGGGTGGACGGCAGGTGAGCACAAGACAGCCGCCCACAAACAGAATTATCCGACCCCCAAAGTGAGTAGGACCGAGGCTGAGACATCTTTCCCTGAAACAAACAGCCAAGGTCAAGTCCTGAAAGAGGGTCGCGGAGGCCGGGCTGGAGCTCAGGGAACCCACTGACAAGCCAAAGTGACAAGCCCCGCCTCCAGACTCGAGCCTGCCCCTCGCCGGGAGGTGGAGCTGCGGAGCTCCGACAAAAGCAAACAGTACTTTAAAGGCCTGAACACGTAGGGCTGCGAGTCCGCAAGCCACCACGTTTTGCACCACGGGACCCGAATCTTCACCTGCCGTACACACCTGAGTTAGCGGCGGGACCAACCTCAACACTAAAAAATGCGCCGCGTCACTCAAGACGGACACTAAGGTCTAATGGACGCCTCCCTTTCTAGAGCTTAGGACACAGATAGACTTCTCACACTCAGCCTCGAAAGGCTTGCTCGGCTCCAGTACGTCCCGCATTCAGCTCCAAACGTGAACTTGGCAAAGATGACTCCCCACCAACCGCGCCTGAGCATGCGCAGACGCGTCGGCGCGGTGGGCGTGGCTCCCCTAGGGCCGCCCCGTCTCCTCTCGGCGTCCCGCCCTCCTCCCCGTCTCCGCTTGCGCATCGGGCCCGGGGCGGAGCTGCTACATCCGGGCGTCTGGCGGCCTGTGGCTGTTTTGTTTTCTTGGCCGAAAGTCGGGGAAAGTGAGGCTGCCCGGCGCGACGCGACCCGGGGCTCCGGACCTACTGCACCCGCGGGGCTGGACGTAAGTGCCCAGGGGCAGTGGGGGCGCGGCCGCCGGCCTCCCAGGCCTTACAGCCTTGACTGACGCGGTCGCATCGGGTTCCCCGCCCTGCGGGAGGCTGCGGGGTCGAGCTGTGCCCTGCTGGACCCTCCCCGGCCACTTCCTGCCGTCCTGCGCCCGGTCCTGCGCCCCGTCCTGCGCCCAGCGGCCAGACCCCCCGGGCTCGGAGGAGTGGGGCGGTCGAGAGGGCACGGCGGGCCTACCCCTGGGTCCTGGGACCCCCCACCCCCACTTCAAGGCTGGAAGAGACCCCGAGAGGGAGTGTAGTCCGGCTGGGTCGCACGGCCGCGACTCAGCCGGGACCCGCGTCACCTCCCCCCTGCGCGTCCACCCCCAGAGCTCCAGTCCCTCGGCCGCGCGGAGCGTGGGCTGCGGCGGGCTGCGGCGTTGCCTGCAGCGGATGCGGGGCGGGGCCGCTGTGCGAACCGAAAACCAAACTGGGTTCCTGTTCCTCCCAGGGAAGGAGAAAAGGGTGGATTTTCAGAATGGAACTCATCCCACATGCTAGTAGCCTTGGTTATTATCATCGGTTTTCGTAAGGAAGCTAAAAATTGAAGTGGTTGCACTTTTTAGGACATCCTGGGTTTTGGACATCCGTAACTGCTGGCTGCAGAGCAGCTCAGTGCACGGGTTCTGATTTGCGGCAGGAGTTGGGGTATTTCTGGAACGTTAGCAAGTTACATGTAATTCAGGCTCGGCGTGGAGGAGTGTTGTATGTAATTTGTTACAGTTTAGTTCTGCTGTGATGATTTAAATAGAAGTGGATTATTTATTTATAGTCTGAATTAATATTAACCTCAGTTACGTGCTTTTGAGGGAGGGGGTTCTGTTAGAACCAGAACTAGAGGTATTAAAATAAGATTTTTTTTTTTTAATAGAAATGACACCAAAAGGTTTGGAAAAGGAAAAAAAAATGAGGTGAAAGAAAGTGATGTGGGTAGAGGTAAAATGCAGTGGGGTGTTTTCTTTTTATTCTTTTTATATCTGGATATGAAGAAATATACGTTTTATGATAAAAATGTGTAAATTTCCACGTGAAATTTTAAAAAAATCAGGTTCTGTGCTCTTAACTCAGCCAAAGTTTATCACTGCCCCACTGTCCCCAGGACGTCAGTGCTCCTGGACTGTAAATATCAAAAACAAATAATAACTTAGTTTGGAATTAAAGCAATACAAAAGAATTCTTGTGAGTTAGTCATCATTATACTGTTATTTAACATCATTTAAATGATCACTTAGGACTGGGGATATAGCTCAGTCAGTAGAGTACTTGCCTTGCATGCACATGGCCCTGGGTTCAATCCCCAGCACCATGAAAGAATAAATAAATAAATAAATGATCACTTAATGTTCTAAATAGGATGTGACAGCTTTCAGAAGTTAAATTCTTACTTTTTTTTCAATATTTGGATACCCACCTTTGTTCATGTTACTTAAATGTACCAAAACTGTCTTTTTTTTTTTTTTTTTTTTTAACAGTATTAGAGTAAACCCAGGGTCACTCTACCACAGAGCCATGTCCCCAGCCCCTGCTTAAATTTTCCAGGCTGATTTTGAACTTGTGATCCTCCTGCTTCAGCCTCCCTAGGCCCTGGGACCAGATTTTGTTTTTCAAAGTTATGTGGCAGTTCATCAGAAGCTAAATTGAATATTCTGAAGCAATATGTGGAACCAAAATATTTTACTTGTGTTAATTCTCTTTTGGGGGGCAGGTATATTGAGGATTGAACCCAGGGATGCTTTATCACTGAGCTACATCCCCAGTCCATTTTATCTTTTATTTATTTATTTTTTGAGACTGAATCTTTCTAAGTTGCTGAAGGTCTCACTGGGTTGCAGAGGTTGGCCTTCAACTGCCTCAGCCACCTTGCCTAGTTAACTGTATTAAGTTATTCTTGAGCTAGTAACTATTTTCCACGAACACAAATCAGGTTCGAAGAGTAAATGAAAATGCTTTATTTAGTTGTGTTTTGTTTTCTTTTTAAGTGATCTGAAAAAAATGTCTGGATTTCTAGAAGGTATGAGATGCTCGGAATGCATTGATTGGGGGGAAAAACGAAATACTATTGCCTCTGTTGCTGCCGGTGTTCTGGTAAGTGTCACTGATAATTTTGTCTATTATTGTGACGTGTTTTTGCTTATGTTTTGAATTCTTCGTGATGTTTCAAAATATGGACTCTTTTTTTTAACTTTTTTTAAAATTGTTTATTTTATTTATTTGTATGTGGTGCTGAGAATCGAAGTCAGTGCCTCACGCATGCTAAGCAAGTACACTACCACTGAGCCATAACCCCAACCCCCTGGACTCTTTTTAAAATATATTTTTTATATAGATGGACCTTTATGTTTTTCATATTTTTTTAAAGACAGAGAGAGAATTTTTTAATATTTATTTTTTAGTTTTCGGCAGATACAACATCTTTATTTGTATGTGGTGCTGAGGTTCGAACCCAGCGCCGCATGCATGCCAGGCGAGCGAGCTACTGCTTGAGCCACACCCCCAGCACCTTTCATTTATTTATATGTGGTGCTGAGAATCGAACCCAGTGCCTCACACATTAGGTAAGCGCTCTACCACTGAGCCACAACCCCAGCCCCTCAAAATATGTACTTTTTAAAAAACCTCTGACCAATGAATTTATTTTAATAAATTTTGATGTTTTGTTTATTGGGAGGGTTTGTTAATGGTTTGAAATTTGATTCAGTACATTGGTTGGGTTATTTTAACTGCATGGTAAAAATGACATGATGAAACATTTTTTATGGGCTGGGGATATAGCTCAATTGGTAGAGTGCTTGGCTTGCATGCACAAGGCCCTGGGTTCGAACTCCAGCACCAAAAAAAAAAAAAGAAAAAAATTTTTTTATTTAATAAAAAAGTATTATGCCTCATCATAGTGAGTACTGTAAGGTACAAGGCAGTATTAAAGAAACAATCTGGTTAAAACCAGTCAAAAGATATGATTGCATTTTTCCATAATCCAAAGTTGACTTTCTTCTCAATCTCATAAGAAAAATAGGAGGGCATCATTAAAATATATAATTGCTTAGAAATAATTTTCAGAATAAAATTCTTATTTACATGCAAATTCCTCAAAGGTCTGATATTTGTATTTTTTTTTTTTGATACTTGGGATTGAATTCAGGGACACTCAAACACTGAGCCACATCCCTAGCCCCTTTTTTTATATTTTATTTAGAGACGAGGCCTTGCCAAGTTGCTGGGGCTAGCTTTGAATTTATGATCCTCCTGCCTCAGCCTCCCCAGTCACTGAATTACAGGCATGTGCCACCATGCCTAACCTACACCCTTTTTTAAATTTTAATTTTTGAGACAGGATCTCACTAAATTGCATAGGCTGGCCTAAACTCACAATTCTCCTGCCTCAGCCTTCTGAGTTGCTGAGATTATAGGCAAGTACCACTATACTGACTTCTTATAAACATTTTTTTTTTAATATTTATTTTTCTAGTTTTCAGCGGACACAACATCTTTATTTGTATGTGGTGCTGAGGATCGAACCCAGGCTGCACGCATGCCAGGCGAGCGCACTACTACTTGAGCCACATCCCCAGCTCCTTATAAACATTTTTTAAAGTTTTATTGTTATTTTTCCGTGAAGAAAATATTTTGAAGCCAGGCAGAGCGGTGCATGCCAGTAATCCTAGCTATTCAGGAGGCTGAGGCAGGAGGGTCACAAGTTCCAGGTCAGCTTGAGCATTTAGCAAACCCTGTCTCAAAATAAAAAATTAAAATGGCTGGGTATGTAGCTCAGTGGTAGAGCATGCCTGGTTTTAGTCCCCAGTACCACAAAAAAAGAAAAGAAATTTGAATACATCAATCTGAGGGTTAAAAAAAATAGTGAGTCATTACTCATGCTAGCCAATAAAAATGTCATTAATAGCTTATGGATCTGTTTTTAACCTAATAGGAGTAACTTGATTAATCTACAATTGCTATTTTAAATAATTGCCAGAAGATGGCAATTTCTAGAGCTAACTGGGTCAGGGATGGGAACAGGGGTAGAATAGGTGGTTACTTTCAAAACCTTCAATCTTCTTGTCAGAATTTGGTTACTTTTATTATAAATTTCTGCTCAGATGATAAAAATATCTATGTAGTTTTGTTTTATTATGTATCTGCCCTTGATAATATCCATAACCAAATTTCAGTTAGATAGATTATGATCTGGTATTCAAATTGTATTAAACTCATATCTGAAACCATCTAAGACTATACTGTAATTTATCAAGAGGAGAAGCAGTACTGCAGAGCTGTTATTCCACGACACTCAGAGGACAGCTAACTCTACAAACAATAATTGTTCCCCATTTTTAGTTTAAATAATTTTTCTTCATTTTAATCATGTCTTCCTACAGGCCTGTAATACATCAGTAACAGGGCAATTCTTGGGTCACTTGGAATCTGATCTGTTTTTTTTTTTTAGTTGTAGTTGGACACAAAACCTTTATTTATTTATTTTTATCTGGTGCTGAGGATGGAACCCAGAGCTCTACTGCTGATCCACAACCTCAGCCCCTGATCTAGTTCTCTTTTTTTCCATAACATTATTGTAACTTTTTTCTAGTTCACAAAGTTAGATTGAATACTTTATTACAACAATATAAAGTAACAATTGAAAGACTTTAGGGCATGTAATGCTTAACCAGCTATTAAGCCACGTGCAAATTATATGCAAGAAACAGAACATTTAAGAAATTTTTGAGGGGCTGG